CCTGTAGTCTGGCTAATTTATTATCTCAAAACAGAATGTTGACAGGAAATAGAGCACTAACTGGCATGCTCAAGTTTTTTTGCCTTCTCCAGTCTCTTGAGACTGCAAGTCTGTATGAGCACACCTTACAATGTATGTATTTCCACAGCAGACACTCTTATCTGGAAACGGTTGGTCTCCAACATCCTCTAAAAACTGGTTTGCACTGTTCAGCTTCATCCTGCCCTACATGCATCGCCATAATGCCAGTTTCCTGAGAAGCAGACCTGTATCCTCGTTTCCTACACAGCTGCAATTTACTACAATTTAACTGCAAGATAAGAGCCTAAAACAATTTCTTTTTTTTTACTGGGTTATTCACAAGATCTCCTTCTAGGGAGGAAGTCCCTGGAGTCCAATGGACACCGGGTTCAATATGCAGTCTCTCCTTTGGGGGCAATGTTTCCCTCGTTTTTCACCACCTTCCAGAAGGCTGAAGGTATTTTGTATCCTTGAAATCCCTTGTCACCTTATCAAGCCAAGTAAAAAAAGATGTACAAGCGCAAACAAACACTATTGTGGGAAGTCACAGTAGTTACAGGGATACAAATCCCATTTCTTGAGGGAAAGATGCAAAATTAAAGAACTTTCCATAATTACAGCAATAAAAATAGAACAGATTATTAAAATCTGCACCCATCACTATCCTAGTGCTTTGCTTAGAGCCCAGCCCCTATCCATCACCTGTTTTCTTTTTCTGGTTGCAAACTCCAGGGGCAGCCCGTCCACATAACACTTCACCTAACATTGGTCTAACCCCACTAGGCATCTTAAGGCACAAGACGCCCTTTTCCTTACACTTACCCATCAGATACACTCAGGCCATAATAACTTATAAAATCGGTTGCTTCCTCACAATCTTTGAACAGTAGCATGCGGACGAGGTGATCCAAGGGAAACACTGTACATCTTTGGGTGCTCACAGTGTAGGCAATATTGAGAGATTTGAGAGCATCTTTACGAATCTGGGGGAAGATAAAAGAAAAAGCCACGTAACTACTACGTTAAAGACCCCAAAATGTACTATAAAGTGTACTATAACCATGAAAATCACATTTGAAAGAAATCAGTACTTTGTCATCAAATACCCACACAAAGAACTATTCAGATTTAACTTTCTTTTTAAATTCTATGCACTCGCTTTCTAGTTTTTGCTCCTCTTTGATGCTGCTCATTCTGAGCATATCCCTTTGCGATTCTTGTGCAGAAGAAAAAGCTTGCAAGGGTTTCTGAAAGTGCAGGTTGGTATTTCCTTTGCAAAAGTCTCAGGCCTGCTTCTATGCTTCCCAATTATTTTCAGGGGAAATAATATGTATTTGTACATAGTTACGGGAAAAAATGCTGGAGAAGAGCATTTTAGTATTTGTCCTTTACATCACAGCAGAAAACTCTTGATAAATTTTTAACGTTTCTGACGAAGCGAGAATAAGATTATTTTTAAGGCTAAACATCTACCAAGTTTTCCGCTACGAAGATTTCCTCCCGGAAGTCCCAGATTGTTTTACTAATTAACACTTTAAAAAAAATATCATCTGCCTTTTTCTCACCTGGTTGAAATAACAATGTAAGAGACAGGCATTCAGATAGGAAGCTGCTTGCACTAACTTGAAAAACCTCACAAAGTTGTTGCTGTTTAATGCAGCAAAAGCTTGAACTGCAAATCTAACTTCAGGAGAGTTTCTAACCTCTGGATGAAACTGCTGTACTTCTCTGTGGAGACAAAAGGCAGAGACAAACCTTTTGCTTCAATATTAACAATCACAATTCAGTAGCAACCTGTAACAAAATGGAATTAAAATTAGGAGCTTTAAGTAAGACATGCAATTCCTGTCCAAAACAAACAGCTATGAATTAAATTTGCAGTATTATTTACTGATCATTAATCTTCTGATGATGCTTGCATAAACAGCATGTTATTTAGGTACGTCACTCCAACGTCTAGGGAGGAAGGCAGTTAAGAGATTGACCAGAAAAGCAAAATATGACTCTGCCCACAAAATAGTTTTTGCTTGGTGCTACTGCAGATAAAGCAGTGAAGCTTGGATACCATTCTGGGAAGAAAAAAAAATTTCCTTGATTGAGAATAGTAAAGATTTTTTTTTTTTGGGTTGGTTGGTTTTTTTACTACCTGCAGCAGCTCTAGTGAGTTATTTAAGGAGATAAAATGTTTTTTTTATTTTCTTAAAAAATACACTTTTTAAAATGACCTATTGAAAAATTCAAGTAAGACATTACTACAGCACACTTTCTTTGGCAAAAAAATTTTGCAACTAAGTTCTTCACCTCCATTACAATTTGTCTGGACTTAATCCTAATCCCAATTCTTCCCAGAGGCAAAGAAAGGAAAGTGATATCTGTTGTTCCCACCTGAGAATATCACCCTTGTTGAGATTCAGCAAGACATTATAACCTCTGAACTCCGCTTCACTCTTGCAGTAAATCCCCTTGTTAGCCAGGTCCTGATACATCTCCTTCAAGCTCTGCAGGCATTTAGTCATGTTCTCATTGTTGATTTTGGCATCAAAGGAGGACATGGGCTCTTCACACAAGTGGTGAGCACAATGGATGTGAAAACGAGTGCACTTCTCAATCAGAGACACCATCAGTGGGTTGCAGAGATGTTGCTGGGTTATATCCTAAGCAGAATGATAAAGAAAGCATTGCATGTATTTTTAAACTACAGTTGAAGAGCACAGTCATCTGGCATTACCTTTGGAAAACTCATTTCAACTGTGCTTTGAGTCACTTTGCAATTCAGAACGTTTGAATTACTATTGCTTTTTGCTTCACTTTTTACAGCATTATGTGATCTGCTTTCTATCATCAAACATCTCCATCTGCCAGTGCTTACCTTTCTTATTCCACGAGTTCTATTCCAGACAAAGTCATACCATTCTCGGTAGTTTCCTTCTCCTTGATCCATAATGTTTGTCACTAAATAGTCCATGGTCATGCTCAACACCTCAGAGGGTCTCAATTCATGGGGCAAAGGTTCCTCCTGATCTGCTGAAGACCTGCTATATTCCTTGATTGCTGCCGCATGATCTACCTGCAAGATGTGCAGAAAAGAATCAAAGTCCAAGGAGTATGTTCAACTTTTCAGGAGTATAGAGTATTTCATCCCATCCATGCCTTTACTTTAGTAAGAAGTAGACCATTAAAGGAGTTTTGCCACTGTTCACACCAACAGCCCACATCCACTCTGCTACGACAGCAAATATATTTTATTTTATTTTATGACAGGATCCTAGGTGTTGACTTAGTCTCAAATTCATAACCTTCAAGACGATGTATACTGCTGCCCTACCGTTTTAGAACTGTAGTTCTAAAAGCCTGTCTGTAGCTAAATAAAAGACATGACAGAGTGAAAAAGTCATTCTTTAGCCTTCTTGTTCTACAACGGGGAATTGAAAGACATTAATGAAATGGCCTCCAGAATTTTTCCACCAGAATTAACCCTGTAACCAACTAAACAACACTGACAGCTTTATATAAGCAGCAAGCAAACAGATGTCCTGGGAACAACAAATCCCTGCAGTCAGAGGGCTCATACCTTGTCAGATCCTAGAAGCAATTCAAAGATACTGAGCTGGTTTCTCGTCTCCCTCATGTAGCGCTCCTTTTCAGGACACATGTCTGGGCAAGTGCCAACAACAGTTTTTGCTTTGCCAAGATCAGTCCTTTTTATTCGAGCTAAAAAAAATAAATAAAATTGAACAAACATTAAGCATCTCTCATTTTTGTTTTCATGACAAGCTATTACCCTGATGTGCCAACACAGCCCTAAGCATGCCAGATGCCTCAGCTGGAGTCTGTACATTGGTCAACGGAGGGATGTCAAAAAGTACATTGCTAGGGCAGCAGTTCACAAAAAAAGCTGGTGAGAAGAGGCCTCTAGAGATTCTCATCCTACCTCTACTCGGAGCAAGGCTGTACCCACACCTTGGCGTGGTCAGAAATGCACAAGGATGGGGTTTCCCCACTGTGGAGCCTATCCCAGGTTGCACCACTCCTTTGGGGAAGTTTCTCCTACCATCCCACCTAGCTATCGAGAGTTTTGCTGAAAAGATTGAAGCCTCTAAAAGATACCCAATGTTTTGTGTCCTAACTAAGCACTGGCAATTTCACAATTCCATGTCAAGTGGACAAGAAATCTGTTTGTCTAATATTAAAAGTAAGATCTTAGTAGGGTCAGCTTTGAAATGGCAATAACAGGATGGAAGGATTTCAACCCATCACTGTGAAACAAAGGGCTATTTCTTGAAATAATTACCAGCTATGTAGTAGTTTGAATTTAGAGAAACACAGTTAGGCTTTGGGT